TCTTCTGCTTTTGATAGTCCAGACCCTACAACACATTATCTATTTGAAGATGCACCGGAAATTAATAAAGAGGGAGTTGAAAACATTTTTTCTTTTTATGAGACTGGAAAATTACGTTTTCAAGAGGTGCTTGAGGAGGATGTGTACAAAACTAAGCCCCGAACTTCCAAACGTCGTGTGCGAAATATAAATCGTTATACCTATGCTCAACTTGAGAGCATAAAAAAACAAAAACGTCGTCAAATAGACGATTCTATTCAAGAATCAATTTTTCAACAGAATACTCAGCAAGCACCATCATCATCGTCTTCTGCACCCAACCCTTTAAAACGTTCGCGTCGTACTACTTCAGAAATAGAAAAAACAATACTTGCTCCATTATTTGAACTTGAAGGTGAAGATACAATTCTTGAAAACGAAATCCAGAAAGTGTTAGTAGAGCTTCAGACCGTCTCTTCAGATTGGTCAGAAGCAAGAATCAAGCAGTACTTGAGAAATAACCGCAAGAATGTTCAAAAATAAAATAGCATTAGATTATTATTCGTGTATAAAATAAATTCATTAGAATACACAAACTTGCCTTTATTAGATCTAGAATTTAGCTATTACATCGTTAAATATTTCAAACTTTTGAACGGATCGGATCCTATTACTTTTTTAGAATTCAAAAATTTAAAAAATAAAGATTATTAAAAATTTTCAGATCTTTAAAATTTCTTAAATACTATGTCCCTGTTACATATAAGTGTTCCGGTTAGTTACAAGATTCTATTTGATCATTTTTATAAACTCTATAGAGGGAAGTAAAGGTAAAAATAATCCGAATTAACCCCTCAATTTACCTTATAAAAAAGCACCTCTTAGCAAATGCCTAAAAGTTACAACTAAAGTGCTCATGAACCAATAATAAGGTTTGTAATGCTCTTTGTTTGCCACCGTTATCGAAGTAAAGTTAGCCTTATTGCACGATACCTGAAATAGAATCTTAGCATTTGTGTTAAAAAATTGTAACTTTCGGGTCTGATCTTATTTTATTAAAAATAAAGTAATACGAATATTAACAGTACAAAACGAAAGCGCAAAGCTTGAAAAATAAAACTTGCCTAAGGTTAAAACATTATTTGCTATTAATTTAGCGAAGAGGGTAAAAAAAAGCCACATCGACATACGTTACACAAAAATTAAATTACTAATAAAATCATCGAAGTGGACATGTCTTGTGACTGCTAATACTAATACTAACTCTAATTTTAATATTAGTTTTTATCTTTATTTACTATTAAAACTTAAGAGATACAAAGTATATTTAAAACACTATTTAGATTTTTTTTTAATTATATATATATTTTTTAATTTTATATTTAAATTTTAGAAAAATCTAAATAATGCTCTATGCGCTATGTACCTCCTAAGTTTTAATAGCAAACAAAGATAAAAACTAATATTAGGGTTAGAGTTAATATTAGAGTTAGGGTTAGAGTTTTTTAGACTAAAATTGTGAGAAGAGCATTTTTTAACAGGGTTATTTTAGTAAAATTTTGAGATATTAGCAATTTTTATATTAAGAAGTATACAATACCTGAGGTACTATCTAGTCGTTTTTTAAATTTTTTAAATTATTTATTTTTTTTGACTTTTTTATTTAATTATTTAATTTTTTTGTATTTTTTAATATTTTTAATTTTTTAAATTTTGTTATTTATTACTACTAGTGATTATCACTAGTATTGCTATATTTCAAAAATATACTAAATAAATAGAATTAGATATTCCAAGTAAAAATATTTAGAACTTGCAAAAACTTTGCAAAACTAAAATTAGAATCTTATAGGCCTGTCCTTTGGGAGGGCAGCTGTTGTTATCTATATGTGATTGGTCAGGTAGTTTGCAGGTGCAGCTATAAGTGTATTTTCTTTGTGAACGATGGTTTGAATGATGGGTTTGGTGAGTTTGTATTGAGGTAGAAGGTTGGTTATATGTTGGAATTTTATGTTGCTTTTTTCATTTTGCAAATTTTTCACAGTATGGTTTCCATATTTGTTCATATATCTCTGAGGATATCTGCAGTAGTATTTGAATGATAATGTCCATTGCCTCTCTAGGTTGTATCTCTAGTGTTGTTAGTGTTTGTACTAGGTGTGAGAAGATAAGTCCTTTTAGGATTACGAGTAGTGAGTGTGTATGTGAGAGGGAGTGCAGAGGTAGTTAAAGGAGGAGTGAGATTTGATAATATCTGTAGATGCTCTAATAAGTGCTAGTGGTAAATTAGCAAAATGTTTAGTAATAATTGTATTAATAGAAGAGTATACAATCTTGTTAAGGGTCTGTGGGTCATAGCAGGTAAGCCAATGTGTAGTTGAATCTGTATTGTTACATGAGAAGCAGGTTGAGGCATAGTAAATCTTTGGGAAGGTAGTGTGAAGATGGTAGTATGTTGGCAGGTCATTAAGCAGATTCTTAACCCTGAAGGCCTTCATTTGATTTAGTTTGGATGACGTGATGTTTGTAGTAACTTTTTGGTTGTTGTTGATATAGTGCCAAGTGGAGTTCCATTTGATTTCAGATGAATAGTTTTCCCACTCTGTATTGTGTTTCTGGGAGGACCACATTGCTATAGTTTTTGCTCTACCAATAGTTTTGATAAACTGCCTTGTGGGTTTTTCTACATAGTATTTGTGCCATTGTATAACAAATATATGGGGAAAAACAAATACTGAAAAATTTCCATATTTCCTTTTAACAAGTCTGGTTGGAACTGGTAAAACTTTCATCTTATTTCAATTAATCGCCTATCTCTCTTCGAAATAAAAAAAAAACTATCTTTTAATGGCACCCACAGGAGTTGCTACTCAAAACTTAGGCGGTAAAACTATCCATTCAACCTTAAAAATACACCTACGGGCATACCATAATGAATCACTAAAAAATTCAGACCTAGAAAGTAAAAAAAAATTAAAAGTTGAATTCATTATCATCGATGAAGTATCAATGGTTGATGCTGAACTCTTTACTTTTATAAGTGATATGTTTTCTAAAATACATAACAGCCACTATGTTTTTGGAAGAATGCCAACTCCCATCGTAGGTGACTTAGCCAATTACCACCAATATGCCCACTTCCTGTTTTTCGATCACCTGCTTGGTTAAAATTTTTCCTCTTATTTCTTACTACCCCCAACGACAATCAAATGACCTTGAATTTTATAATGTATTACAAGAAATACGCACTGGACAATTATTAGATATAAGCAAATCTATCATAGAATCCTGTTGCATCTAAAGTAGCCACCCTATCTAAAGTAGCCCTGGGCTAGAATTACGATTTAGTGCATGCATGAAGATCTAATTTCAGGGGCCTAATTTTAGTCAGGCGCTACTTTATATATCTAAAGTAGCTACTTTAGATAAATCGCTACTTTAGATGCAACAATCCCAAATAAATCCACACATACCTCCCGCTAAATTTTTCGCTACAACTCATATTGTACCAACGCGTCAAGCCGCTGATCATATAAATCAGCTACTCTGTGATTATCTACCACTCGATGACACCTGCAACCAACCCTATATTTTTTCATCTATTGACACTCTAAACTTCGAAATTTTAAATAATGACCATTCAATATTCCAATTCAAAAATATAACAAACTTACCCCACATTTTACGTTTACAAGAAGGAGCTCGAGAGTTATGTTTTCAAATAATAAACATTTCGATGACGGCATATGCAATGGTACTATTGGTCTAATAATAGATAACAATAATGTCGAGGTTACTTTTCCAACTCTCGAATCTATAAGCAAGGTAATAATTCAAAAAGAAACAACTTACTTCGAAATTGATGGCAAGCCTGCTTCACGACAGCAATTTCCTCTCCAAAGCGCTTTTGCTCTTACAACTCATAAGGTACAAGGCTTAACTCTCCCTCACGTCACTACTAGTATCGATGAAACAGTTTTCGCCGAAGGTCAAGTTTACGTTGTTATGAGCCGTGCTACATCTTGGAAAAGCCTTCACTTACTAAGTTTAGACTATAATTACCTCAAATGTCCCACTGCCGCTCTTGAAGAATATAATAGACTATCCCTAATCCATTCTAGAGGGTTACATAACTTACAATAGCTCTTATACTATCCTAACCTACTTCTACCTTTTCTATTAGTTATTTTCTCAAAACCTCTTAATGTCTTAAAATTCAATCACAATCATACCCCTTATAAAATTAAACAATTCACTACTCCCCTCAATCTACTAAATTTTCTTTCTCTTAATTCATGTTATACAATACTATCCTTATATTCCCGTTTATTCATATTATTCTAAACCATTATTACCTTAATCTTATTTACCTCAGTTCTTCCTCCTTTTGTAATTTTATTTTTCAAATAAAAATGATTTTTTTAACTTTAACATACTTCAATAATACTTTTATATAATCGACAATATTCCCCTTACATATAAACTTGCTTGCTCTAATTACGTATATCATATAAAATAAACATGTACAAATTTTTTTACTTTAATTACATCATATGCAGATCACACCTCTTAACATTTAAAGTTATCCCTATCGACTTTAATTACTTTGATTCCTTCATTAATTAATTATGCATCTTATAAAACTCACTGCATTTGCCCGTCGCATTTCTTATTGTATAATTTGATATTATTCGATTCGTCTCGATAAGACGATACTCAAATTATACAATTTGAATTACTCAATCACAATATATTTGAGCTTGTAAAAAAAAAAAAAAAACTTACGGCATTGCGCTCACCACCAAATATGATTCTTTCAATAGCATTTTTACTATATTGAATTATAAATTGAAAAAAATTCTCTGATTAAGAAGAGATTATTCGACACAATTTTTTTTAGCGTCATGCGATATTAATTTTAAATATACAATAAATATCTTCACGAAATGTATTTAAAGGACTCATGCTCACGTAAAAGTAAAGTAAAAAAAAAAAAAAAACAAAAGAAAAAACTTTACAAAATGTTATTGATTAAGTCTTTTACTACAATTTTATTTATAACTGCAATCCTTTCTAATATTGCAAATGGGGCTGATCGAACTAAGATGCTTAACCTAGTTAACGCAGAACGTCGAAAAGTAAATCTACCTGACCTCAGATTAGATTCGTAGGTTTAATACTTGATTGAATTGTTTAACTGTTAAACAGTAATAAAAACAGGCATAAAATTTAGCGATAAATTTTTAATATACGCATGTTATAATATAATTAATATAGTCAACTTAACAACGCTGCTCAAAAGCATACCGATTATATGGCAAGAACAAATATTTTATCTCACTATGAAAATTCTCAAGATCCTGGTGTCAGAATTAAAGCTCAAGGTTATAATTGGTCTACATACGGAGAGAATATTGCTCAAGGTCAATTAACTGAAGATGAAGTTATGAAAGCGTAAGTGTTAATCTTGCTACGTCTAAAAAACAAGCAAATACAGTATATGCAGTGCAGTTAATAAATATTGATAATTTGTTAATTTGTTTAAAGATGGATGAGTGATCCCCCGCATAGAGATAATATACTTGGTAAAATGTTCAAACATTTAGGTGTAGGATATTCAAGTCAAGGTAATTTTTGGACTCAAGATTTTGCCGCACCATTATGAAGTGTCAACACTATTAAAGGAGAGATCTTTCAATAATAAATGATATCTGATAATACAATATTCGAGTGGTTTTAAAGAATATCAATATTATAGCATTTACCTTGTATTGCTTTTCTACTTTTTCTATCTGTATTTTGGTATATATTATGTAAGTTTACGACATATTGTAATGGGTTAAATAAAATCAGATTTGGTTTCTGTTTAACACTCTAAAACGCGTTTATGCTCTTTTATTAACAATAAAGCTAAAATAATACTAAAAAATAATACTTTAAAATGTTTTTATTGCAACGCGTAATTTATATAATATAATAACGGAGATGATTTATTGAATGTTAATTGATGATATGTATATTATTTATTACAGAAAATTTGAAAAAGACTAAAGTTTTAATTAGGATTTAAAGTTGAAGATGCTGATATCTCTGTGTATTTCATAAATAATCAGATCATACAAAATATTCTAAAGATTAAAAAACATAGGAACAGCGATATTGCTATTGTTCTTGTACTTTATTTTGCATAATGACAAGTTGGTTGTTTAATCTTGGCTATTGTTATAGACATGGAATCGGTGCTATAAAGATACAAATAAAGCATTATCATAAAAAATCTGCTGAGTTGGAAATGCAGATGGGTTATTAATTCTCGGTTACTATTATCAACATGGAATTAACGCCCTTTCATCTTTCTTAGCCGGCAAGCAGCATATCACTTCAAATGAAGATTATATTGGTTGCGATCTTTCTCGTGTTCCGCCACATTTCCTTGTAGACTAAAGCGGAAAGGATTTTCGTAAAAAAATTTTATATTATTACTGCGCGCGCTGATTATTTTGATAGTTCTAAGCATTCCCCCAAAAATTTTTTATCGTATTCGGTTGTACTTGTACTTATAATTTCTTATCCGGCAAACTCATATGATCATGAAAAAGTTATTTTTTCATGTGTTACGATGTAATTATGCTTATTCCAGTATTCAAAATTAAAACTCAGCGAGCGACTCCCTACCAATCATGATCATAAATTGCCGGATAACACCAATATTGGGCAAATTGTCGAATACGGTAATTGACAAATGATTGGCTACACGTGCCGCAAAGTGGCACGTGTTCATTTGCCAAATTACCGTTATTCGACAATTTTTACCCAATATTGTATAACCCCTAGCGCACCCACAAAAACTTTCCCCTCCCGTGATTTTTGGCCAATCAAATTTGAAGATCAGGTGTAACGTAAACAAACGAAGCGAAACCATATTTTACATATAAACTGAAATAACTCGAAATTTTAATTAAGAAACCACCTTCTGCGGCCTAATTAAAAATGTTACTTGTGAAATTTTACCAATAGCAATAACCCTAACCCTACACTATTCTCGCTCTAACCCAATCATAACGCGGTTTTATAAATTACGGGGGTAGGAAAATTTTTGTGGGTGCGCTACCTAAAATAATATAGTATACTTATTCATTGCAATTACATGACTGTATACTTGTGGTATTTGTTTTACGCAAGAAAATCCGATCTATGTGAAAATATTTATTTAAACGCTAATAATTTCTAAAGCTTTAAATTTTTTGTTGTCTGTAACAGCATGATAGAAATCCGTTTTATTGGCTGTTGATTTTGATCATCAAATTGAATGTGATTGGTCGGTATGTCGTAATTCTATAATAAATTCTGATTAGTAATATGACGACTCTTCTAAATGTATATGTAATAAAAAAATTTTTTTAGTAGCACATTCTTTATGACTTAACGAGCCTTTCGAAACCCTCGGATCAAGTGGGATCAAGTGTTTAGAGGTAGGTAGTTTATATGTGAAGTGTAGCAAGAATATATAAGGTTGTGCTAGTTGGTTTAACTTCTACAGCTAAAAATAAATACTTTTGTACTTAACAGGCGAAGAAACCGGCAAAAAAAAAAGTTAGTAAAACACAATTTTTATTATATTTATCACCATTTATTTATATTTTCTATTGCATTTTGTAAATGGGATAAAACTATATCACTTCCTTCTATTTCTTGAATTTCTTCAGGCTCTTCTGTATCTTCTTCTAAATCTTTGGGCTCTTCAATTCCGTCATTTTTGGTAAGTGCATTATCTTCATCTTCAAGTCTTTCCAAAAATGATTTAATATTCTTATTTATTCTCTTTTTGTAATATTGCTCACAATGTTGGCACCCATATTCCATTTGATTGTAGCAGTCCCAGTGGAAACCATGACCACAGATTAATACGGTGCCATCATTATTGTCGTTCAATGCTTCGTAACAATTGTCACAAAGCCCTAGTAAGGGAGGAGCTCCAGTGCTATAACCCGTTGGCAAGTGTGTAACACCAACTTCTTCATTTATTTTTTTTTCCTTGCTTTTTAATTGAATCTTTTTTTTTTCTTTACCTGCTATACTAGAAACCTTTTCAAGATGCTGGAATGCTTGATGAAAATAATCTATCAAAAATAATGACATTTTGTTTGTCAAATATTCTAAAGCCATAGACATATATGGATATCTTTTTTTTAAATGAAATGCTTCTTTAAATGGCGATTGTTTGTTTGCATTTATTTTTATTTTTTTTAATTTAATTTAATTTAATTTATTTTATTTTATTTTATTTTTAGTTTATTTTATTTTGTTTGATCAGCGTTATTATTATTATCATCTTTAAATAAAGTAATTTTATTTATTGCTTACCTAAAATACAAGCCTACTTAATAATTATTTCAATGTTGTCACTAGAAGATGTGTTGGCCTGTATTTTACTATGAAAGTTTTCAACAAAATAGTCATTGAAGTGCACAAGAAACATCTTAATTGCTTCAAATATTGGATGATTTTTGTCTTTCCAATAAAAGATATCTGACAAGAACACAAGAGGGGCCTTATTGTAATTTTAGCATAATGCAAAGGTCCAAATATGAAAAACAGTTTTGATATACTCATTGAAGGAACCTGAATAAAAAAGAATTGTGTATACATCTAAGGCTACTAAAACTATATTATCAAGAAGATCAACTAACATTCTATATTCTATGTCCTTGCATAGAGTTCCAAATTTTTCAAGTACTTTTTCTTTTATTTTTAGCTATTCTTGGTAAGCAAGTTCAAGGAGAAGATTTATTCTTTATGGCTTTGGCCTTTTTGCAAGAACTTTTTGTTCGCCAAAGACTGCATGAAAGAGTTTTTTAAAAAAAGAATAGTAGATTATTAGAACTTGCTCCTGACTATTTAACAAGACATGCAGTAGACCTAATATAGGTATAAAAGAATTAATAACTGCTGATATTTGCGAATTTGCATTTTGTTGTAAGTGAGTTATTGCTTTTCATATAAATAATTGTCCAGGCCAGTCATCAGCGACAACTAGCATTATATAATTATTTTTATGTCCAATATCTTTATTTATTGAAATAATCATTTCTAATGCATTTAAGTAATATTCTAGTGTATGAAAATTACTTTCTTTAAATCTGACTAGCCTCACTTCCTCTATACTTCTTTCTCTTTCTTTTTCTTTTATAGTGTCATCATAGAAATGAATAGTTAGAAGTTCTATTTGATCAAAATTAATATTTACTCCTTGTAAAATAGATTACTGACTCTTTCTTTGCATATACAAAAGATCAAAAATTCTACAATATTGGGTAATTAAATGAAGGCATACTAAGGATGCATTTATATTAACAGAGTTATGAATTGAGCTACCATTGTGGCTTATTGGAATTGGTGCATAATTTAAAATTTCTTTGCTAACACATATAGTAAAATGAATTAAAGCTGAGAGAACTACATTATCTGGATATCTTATACCATGTATATTGTAGTAATCATCAATATTATAAATGAAAAAACTATTATTCTATATTAAATAGTATTAATTATTATTTAATTATTATTTAAATTTAGGAAGCTAATATGAACAAGATTTGTACTATAGTTATGGAATTCTGGTTATATATGCAGTAAAAACTATTTTGGCAAAGCCGAAATAGTTTCTAAGATATATAATGTTCTTACCATGCCTACTTACCCTTTCAGTAAAATAATTTCTAATATTTTTTGGATATGCACCTACTATCTTTATTCTATAATTATCAACAGTTTTATAGCAAACTAACATACCAGCTTTATGCATTGTATCAATAGCATCACATAAAGCACCAGATGCTACAAGATATAACCTGATTTCCAAAAGATAATTGTTTACAAGTCTATTACATATTGCTGCAATTGAATAACATATATTAACTACTTTTTTTTACCTTTTTTTTTATTATATGCAGACCATTTTTCTGGAATAAATGCATTATATAATTTATCAAAAAATCTGTTTAATAACAGCTCTGCATTTTCAAGCATTATTTTAAAATGGTCTGGGTCCAATTCAAGCATTTGATTTTCTTTTCTTTGTTTGTTATATAATATTTTAGTCATTAATACAATTTTATCACTGAATAATAATGGCTTTTCAGTGACATTATCCTGTAGATTATTAGTTGGCAATTTCTTTATATTATGGCGATCAGGTTCAATAATCTCAAGGTAATAAGAATAGTATAATTGCATTCTGACTTTTAAATAATTATACTGATTAAATGTGCCTTTATCTTTTGTTTTTTTAAGTATGTAATCAGTGATTTCATGAAATTGTTTTGGGGCTATTTGGCAATCATGAACTGAGCAAGGGCTAAGGTTCTTTTTAGTTATTATGTGTAATTATAAATTTTAATTATAAGATTAAAAAATGTGTTTTTTAATTTATTAATACATATAAATTTTATACAGATTATTACTTATTATACAATATACAGTATAACTATTTAAATATATTACTCTAATTTAATATTATATAATAAACAACTTTTGTGTTGCCCTGCATGTTAATAAAATAACCCCTGCATAAATTAAATAGTACGAGACTATTATTTTACTAGAAATTTTATAAAATATGTTATATTTCAGATTGGCTTAATTAAACCTTTATTTGTACAATCT